TTGTTTTTACTTAAATATGATATATATCATATTTTTTAATATGTAATATTCTTTTTATTTTCATATATTGGTTATTATGGAGCAAGTCTCTTAATCTACATATTTTGATTGTAATATTCTTTCTATATTTCTCCTTCAACTTCTTTCTTGATTGTTATTAATAATAATGTTAATAGTGGAGGTTATAGTTTTAATATAATGGTAGTAATCATCTAATGTATTGATTACTATTTCATTTGTATTAATGATATTAATTATTTGATGTATTTGTTCTTATTGTAATAATAATTAATAAATTATACATCTTGTTCTTTCATTTATTCTTATTTATTTATTCTTATTACCTCCTCTTCTTGTATTTCTTCTTTCTTATTTATTCCGGCTATTAATTCTTTTAATTCAATATCTTTCAATTAGTGTGTTATTAATTCTTCTTCCATTCTTCTATTGACTTCCCTTTTAATTTCATTCTTTATTTTATATGTTTTCTTTATTATTTCTTTATATTCATTAATATCTTCTATTTTAATATCAAATTCATGTGTTCTCTTCTATCTAATTCTTTTCAATTTTTTTTCTTAGTTTTTCCATTTTTGTCTGCTGTTGATACTTTATTTAATAACCTCCTTGTTCTTGTACACCACTCAAACATTTTTTTTCTCAATTTTTTTCTTCTTTTTTTCTTGGTGTTTTTCCACTTATTCATATTGTTCCAGTATCTCCATATTTTCTTGTTCATTTGATTATGTTTTTGTCATTTTCCACTGGTTGTTTTTCCTATACCTATTCACTTGCTTATATTTTTTTTTCATTCTTCTCCTGATTCTCTTGTTGATGGCACTGCACATGTCCATATTCTCTACTTGTTGCACTTTGAGTTGTATATTTTTCAATAAACAACTTTTTGGTTATGATTAACTGGGTTATTTGTAGTATCTGTCTTGTTTTGTCACTTTCTTCTGTTGTTGCACATTCTCTATGTTTTACGTCTTGTACATTTATTATAATTATGTTTTACTTGATGTGTCTGATAATGTATTTGTTTGTGCATTATTTGGTATTGTTTGTGAACTTGTTTTTGAAGGCTCTGGTTATTTGTTTGTGGTTGAACTTCTTTTGTTCATGTTAAATATTACCTGTTTCTGTTGATTGTACTGATGGTTTTCTTGTTATTCATTTCTTCACATTTCTATCTTTTATATCATTGGTTATCATTGTTTATTTGATTATATTTATGTTTATTACTTTCTTATTTATTGTTAATCTTCTTTGTTCTATTTGTAATTATAATAATCAATACAAATGTCCTTATTGTTTGTATTTCATTTCTGTTCTTTCATTATATTCATTTCTATTATTAACATTTAATTTCATATATAATGATTCAACCATTTCATTATTCATTTTATTTCATTATGTTATCATAATATATTTTGTAATTCAATAATAAATAGAAATGAAATATCAAATAAAATTCATTTTTATAAATTAATTAAAATAATAAACATAATAAATCATAAAAATAACAATCATCACTAATATGAAATAATCAAATCAAATCATAATTGAACCCATTAATATTTTATGATTATATTCATTAATACTCATATTTATAAAATGTTTAATTAATCATTTTAAATTGTTATTTATATATTTATGTTTGATTATAATATAATGATTTCTATTTATTTATTTGACCAACCTTTATTTGTAGTTTGTTATTTATCACTCTATGATTATTATTTTATATTTTTTCTATATTTGAAATATTTTATTATGTTAAATTATTATTTATTTATTATTTCAATCATTAATAATCATTATATATCAACATATGATGATGAGGTTAAATCATAAATAATGATAAATTCATTTGATTATAACTTATTATAAAATAATTAAAATGAATAAGAAAGAAAATAAAAAATAAATGAAGAGAAATAGAATGAGAAAATAAATAAATAAAGATAATGAGATATTTGATTTTATAATAAATAAATATTTTATTAAATATCCATGAAGAAAATAAAGATATACATAATGTAAATAACACTAAATATTTCATTTTCTTAAATCATTTATTAAATATAATTTGGTAATAATAGAATAATATAATGCTTTATTATTGCAGACTGATGAACTAAGATGTGAAAAATGAGAATAAAAAAATAAATTATATTTTTTTAATTTTTAGTAAAAATTAAAAAATGCACGAAGTGGGGTTTGAACCCACGCATCTTTCGATATCCGCGCCTAAAGCGGACGCCTTAGACCACTCGGCCATTCGTGCTTTCCTAAATTGAAATAGAAAATAAAAAGAAAAAATAAAAAATATAATGAAAGATAATAAAAAGAACTAAAAAATATATAATAAAAGGAAGAAAGTTGAGGTATAAAGAAAATTTAGAGAGAAAAAACAAAATAATACTATTAGATAGAATAAATTCTAGTAAGATATAAATAACAAAAATAATAATAAAGAATAACAAAAAAAAATAAGATAAATAAATAAGAAGAAATAAATAGAATAATTGAATAATGAATGAAGTGATGAATAAAAAATGAATACTCATATTTCTAACAAACAAGAGAATAAATCATAAGAAAGAAAAGAATAAGAAAGAGAAATGAAAAAGAATATCAATTATAATCAATTATAATTTATTTCCACTTCAAATTACATTGCATTTCACTGGTTGTACTTTGTTTTGTTGCTTCATTTATTACCGTTCATAAGAAACAACTTCTTGGTATGCTTTCATTCTTCTTTAATTCTTCAACACATCTACATTTATAAAAACATCCATTTCCAAATGATGTAATTGTTGGTGGTATACCAATTGATGTTAATGATGAACGTCTTGAAAAACACCCACTTTTTAATTCGCTAACTGATGTGGTATATTGTTTATTTTTAATGATGGACAAATTTCAAAGCAATATTTACCTAATTTATTAATTGTTGTTAGTATATTAATTGACGTTAATGACGAACACTCAGAAAAACAATCATCTCGTATTTCACTAATTGATGATGGAATAATAAATTCATTTATATCTTTCTTTTCAATACTCTTTCCATTAACCTCTTTTAAATTTTCTGGAATTTTAAGACTAAGTAACACTGGTTCATTTAGATATTCTTTCTTTATTGATGAATGGGCAAATTAATTTTGCATAGTAATAAACATTCATTAAAACATCCATATCCTATTTTACTAATTGAAGATAGTATGCTGATTAATTTTAATAACACACAATCTCTAAAACAGTACTCTCCTATTTCACTGATTGTTGTTGGTATACTAATTGATGTTAACGTTGTACAATCTTCAAAACAATAATCACCTAATTTAGTGATTGTAGTTGGAATAATAAATTCATTGATACACCTCTTTTCAATATTCTTTCTATTTACCGTTTCTAGATTTCTTGGTATTTCAATACTATTTAATATTGGCTCGTTCATAAATATTCTTTCTTTACTTATATATTTTATGTTCTCTACATTAATCGATTTTAATGAATAACACTCATTAAAACACCAGTGTCCAATTTCTTGAATTGTCGATGGTATATTAATTGACCCTAATGATGTACATCCAGAAAAACACCCACTTCCTATTTTACTAACTGTTATAGGTATTTCGATGGATACTAATGATACACATCTATTAAAACAACCAACCCCTAATTTATTAATGGTTGTTGGTATGCTAAATGCTGTTAAATCTTTATAATTAGAAAAACATTCAGCCCCAAGTGATTTAACTTCTGGTGGTATTGTACCTCTATACGGCCCTGTAAATTCTATATTTTTACAGATATTTCCTGCTTCTTTTTCTTTTAAATATCTTGAATAATATACTTCATACCATATTATTTGTTTATTTATTTTTCCATCATGAAATATTTCATCATTTTTATTATAAATATGAAATGTTTCAATATTAGGAAACAACTTTCTTGAATGTTCATTTAATGGAATTGGATTAAAATGAAATCGTTCCATATTTCCTTGAAATCTTTTAATTCCTATTTCTAAATTAATAAAATCTTTAATATCATTAAAATACATTGATACTATCATTATTTCATTATATCCTAATTTCATTCTTGATTTGTTGTTTCTTGTTGTATTTTCCATTTTTATTTTATTTCAACTTAAAATATTTTTAAGATTTAAAAAAATCTATTTTAAAAATAGTAATTCGATTTTTTTATTTTTCTATTTTTAAGTTATGATAAATAAACAATTTGAATGAAACATCCACTTTTCACTATCATCTTTCATTTTCTGATTATCTCTTATTGGTCTTGTTTTTTAGAGTGGTCAAATGACTTGCCATTCATCATAATGAATGTTGTTAATCAAAATCAATCAATTAATCAAAAGAAATGATTTATGATGAATAAAAAGATAACAAGAAATGATAATAATAAATAATGTGATTTATTGTCAAATAATCATTTCAATTGATATAACAACAACAATGTAATCACGTTGTTGATTAAAACTAATTATTTCATATGATGATTACATTCTAATCATATTCCTGTTGATTTTAAACATGTTGAATGATAACTATGACCACATCCAAATACATTGATTAATTCATCCTTTTCTTTATGACAAACAACACATTCTTTTGTTGTAATATTTCCTTTTTTTAATTCTTTGTTATGTTGTTGTATTGTTTGGTTTAGTTGTTCATTTGAAATCATTTGAAGTGTTTTGTACATTGTTAATTTCGATTGGCTTTGTTTGATTAAATCACTTAACACCTTTCTTAATAAAACTCCTTCTGTGATGTTACAACAAAATTCACTTCTTTTATTGGTATATTTGAAATTTCTATTTCAACTATTTCTAGATACACTTTCTTGTATTCTTCATAACATTCATTTCTTCTCTTCATTATTTCATTACATCTCTTCATCACATTCTTCATTTCTAGTTATATCTCTTAATCGAAATGTTTCACTTACTTCTTTGAGTTCTTCCATAATTCCTTCATACATTTTAGTTATTTCTTCTTCCTTTTCTTTCTTCTTCATTTTGATTTTGATTTTGTTTGTCTATTTCATTTAAACATGTGATACTTCTGCTTTGAAGATTTCTAAAACTTTCTTTAATTTCTCCTTTCTTCTAATCATCAATATTGTTCTTTCATCTTTATATTTCATGTTCAATAACTTTATCCATATCACATGTTTTTCTATCGATGATTTGTCGTATTTCTGTGGTGTCTTTCTTCATTTCATAACAACTCTCAATCACTTTCATATCAATACATCTCATATTTCTTTGAATGATTCGACTTGCTTCATTCATCATTATTCTTCCTTACTCATAAATGATTTCATATGGTGTGTTTGGTTGAACTAAACAATATAATCCACAACTTGCAAAATATTTAACTCCATTATTCATTGTTTTCTTTATATCCATTTCATACATTTTTTTTGTGAATTTTTTAACTGTTTTCTCAATACTTTCTCGTTCTAATCCTTTTCGTATCCATCTTTTATCTCATTCCATACATCTCCTTTTTGGATAATAACCATTGTCATTAACGCATCACGTGCTGTTTCATTTTCATTTAATCTCCGTAATATTTTCTTATTATTAACTGTGAATGCTGCTTTAACTATTTTATCTATTTTCCACTTCTTTCTTTATCACATTCTTTAATTCCTTCATTACACATTTCTTCTTCTTCTTTATTCTAATCTTTTGATGTTAAAACATTAAATATAGCTTCTTTCATTCCTCGTTCTCCATATTTCATTCTAATCACTTCTCGTGCTCCACTTTCTTTAACTTCTGTGATTGGACTTTTCATTGTTTCTATTAATCCTTCAATAACTTCTTTCTTCTCTCCAATATCTCTCAACACATCTATTGTTTTGTCTTTACAAATAATAATTCTTCAATTAATGTCATCCCATATGTATTATTAAATACTATCTTAATTATTTCTTTATCATCTCCTTCTGCATTACATCGTTCTGCATTTGTGATAAGCATTTCAATATTGTTCTTCATGCTTTCTTCAATTAAACTTGTTGGTGTGATTCCATGTTTGAGAATGTTATGTGAAACAATGCGAAATGCTTCAATTGTCTTTTTCCCTAATGACCTATACATTGTGAAAATAGTAGAATATCTTGAATATTCAATACATATACTGATCACAGATGCAATATCTAATATATTTGAATAACATCCTATTATTCTTTCACTTATTGTACTATCTTTATTTTTCAATCCCATCACAAATATTTCCCATGCATTTTTCTTATTTATTTCAATTTTCTTTCCTTTCTCATTTATTTCTGAAATTATTTTATTCATTATTATTTCTTTTTGTTCATCAGGAGTGGATTCAATTAATGTATCAACACATTCTAATTCTTTTGCATATTCCCAACAATCTTTTCCTTCTTTTGCCATTTTACTTATGATTTCTTTTCCTTTTCTTTTCATTGTTCCTTTTCTTTCAATGCATATCTTTATTTGTTCTTCTTCATTTTCTATCTCATCTATCATTTCTTCTTCTGTTGGAATGTCTATACTTTTGAATCTATTCATTGTGAGTATTACTATCATTTTCTCATTATTCTGAATTTCTTCTATTGGTGTATTATTTATTATTTCTTTCTCTCTATTCCCTTGATTAACTTTAATTTGATTATTATATTGTGTTAAAATGATTGTATCACACCAAATAATAGATATTGGTGATTTAACTTTGTTTTCTTTAATTATTTCAATACTAAATTTCCCTTCATCAAATCTTTCTTCATACAAACTTATTGTGTTGTTATGTAATATACAATGATGTGGGGGTGTTTCCTTCTTTTCAATTTGAAGAATAGGTGTTGATGAAATACTTTGGATTTTTTTATACAGATAATATTCTGTTGGTGGACATGTGAATGGTGGAATACAACTCTGTTATTTTGATTCATTTCTATTCATTTTCTCATCATTTAAATCACATAACCATAAAAATACTGATTTACTTGTTGCTAACATAAATTGTCCGACTTCTTTTGTTTTTGCTGTAACATGTGTTAAACATGAATTTGATAATACATCAACATGTCCTCGTTGTCCAAATCCAAGAATCGATGTATCAGGATATTCAATTACTCTCAGTGTTTTATCATTTGAATATAATGTAAAGATTCTTGCTGATAAAAAGTATCCTTTGATTGTTCCTGAAATCACTTGTCGATAAAACACTCGATATGTTTCAATTTCAATGACTAATACAGTGAAATCACTTGAAATTGTGAGTATTAAATCTTCATAACAATCAATACTAATAATTGGTGCTGATTTCATTAATGGTGGTGGTGTATGAATTATACTTTCTTGTGTATCAATGTTATAATAAATGATTCTATTATTATCACTGAAACAAATCATTCTTTTATCATTCACACAATATCCTTTGATTCTCATTCTTTTCTAATGAGAGTGTTGATTTGATTAAATCTATCATCTTTATCCATTTTTTTATTATTCTTTATTACCTCTTTTTATTTCTTTTATTAATTAAAATGAAAATGAAAATATTAATGAATATTAATGAATAGAATATTGAATATTATCTCCTAATGTGATTGTTGGTGTTGTTGCACATCTTGCATATTTTCTATTAAATCCTTCAAATCGTACAAATGTGAATATTAATGGATTTGATTCATCTCCTCCTTCATAACATACTCTAACATTAACTACTCCTTGTTCATGTGCAGGTGTAATTACAACTATTTCAGTATGTGAATTAAATGTTGCTAGTGTGCTAATATTTCCAAATGTTACTTGATATTTTCTTCCTGAATATGGGAATCTCCCTTTGATATAAATCTTTGTTCCACCACAACATGGTCCTTCAGTTTGTGATAGTTCTTTAATAGTACATACAAGAGGGAGTATCATTCTAATAGTTGATTTCTCATTAATATTCCATTCTTCACTTCTTCCTTTCTTTGGTAATACATATCCATTATATATTAATGTTATTTGGTGTAATGTTAATTTCTTTTGTTCTTCAATTTCTGAATAAATTCTTTCTAGTTTGATTGGTACATTCATTTCAATGTATTGAACACATTGATGGTTATTGAACAATTCAATTTTCATTGTTTTTTATTTTATAGATGATGAATCACCACATCATCCTTTCATTTCTTGAATTATCATCATTTCTTCTTTCTCTTTTTGTTTTATATTCTTGTTTATTTCATTCATTTAATTGTTTAATTGGTGTTTGATTCAATAACAATTTATCACTTCTTTTATTTGTTAATTTCACTTTTTTAATTCTTTTATTAATGTAAACCTCCTTCTTTATTAACAAGTAAGAAACTTATTTGATTTTATCATATTTTATTTATCTCCTTTATTCTATTTCTTAACACATTTATAAACAAAAATTTGGCTGATGAAAAAAAGTCATAATAAAAAGTATGGCGTTGAAGTGCATATACTATAATTTTATTAAAAATACGAACCTTAACAATTAAGATATAATGAAGCAAAAAAAAACAATGAATAGAATAACATTAAAACACTTGCTGAAGTAGAATTTAATATAATAATGAAATAAAAAAAAGAATAACTTTTCTTCAAAGTACTAATGAATAACAAAAATTAAAATAACATAATTATAGATAAAAAATAAGAATGAAAAAATAGTTATTATATTATTATAGTATTAAAAATAATAATGAAAATTTCAAAATTGTAAAAAAGTATTACAAAAGTAATTTATAATTTGCTTCTTTCTTCATTTTTTTTTATTTCAAATAATTCATCAGAAAGAGTGTTAAGAAGTATTTCTGTTTTTTCAACCATTTCTTTTTGCTCTTGGGTTAAGGTAATGTTTTGGTATTTGACTGAGTCCTCAATAATTTCTTTTGTTTGGAGTACTAAATTGAAGATACGAGGGTATTTTATTTTTGAATAACATTTTAGTATTGTTAAAATATCTATTTGTTCAAATGGATAAACTAACTTTGGAATATACTTTAATGGTAATGGTCCATACTGTAATGAAGATAAAGAAAATTCAATGTTTTGTTGTAGTCTTTCTGTAATAACATCTTGTGGTTCAAAGACAATTTGTTTAACAGAAACTACTTCATACTGTGGTAAGATAGAAGGGAGCGGTTGGGCAATAGTGATGACATCTCTTTTACGAGATATTTTATAACAATCATCTTCATGTTCATATTTATAATCAAAACAGAAAGTATTTGTTGTAATAAAATTCTCTACAACTCGGTTTTCTTTCATTGGACTAACTTCAACAAAAACAGAGTCATTTCCTTGTTTTTTTAAAACAGCTTCAAATTGAGTTGGTGAAAGAATGGAACGTAGTACTAGTCCTAGATGATCTTTATCTTTATTAATAAGATAATAATGATCAACATTTGACTCTGCTTCAAGTTTATTGTATAAATCACACATACTGTCATGACAAATTTCTAATTCTTTATATTGTTTCATTGTTTTAAATAAAGAGACTAATACTTCAAAAACGTAGATAGACATTTGTATTTTATTTGCCAATTTAAAGAAGTCCGTTGCTTGTTTTAATTTGTTAACAACTGTAATAATAGTTTCTTTATTTATTTCTAAAGTAACATCATCATAATTAGGTTCCTTACATATTTCCTTTAATTTTCTTTTGTCAATACTTTCTGGAAGTCCAAGATATAAGGCTATATGAATACAACAAATGCCAGCTTCACAATACATTTTGTAAGAAACATATTCTTCAATCATTCTTTGAATCCAGGCAATATGAACTCTTGCAGTACTTTGATATTCATGAGCAAAAATCATAAATTTCTCTACTAACTGAATTGGAGAACTTCCATTCATTAAACTTTTAATATCAACTAATTTTTGGAGAATTTGGTCTGCAGTTGTTGTTAATTCATTTAAACATTCTTCAAACAAAACTTGTTGACTTTTAGATACATCAATAAAAGCATCTTTA